GCGTGAACGTTAACCTGCCTATACATTTTTTCGACGTCAGCCGTGATGACGTACCTATGTATTCGAAACCTGAGTAGTATTGCTAATAAGTCATCCTGAATGACTGGACCCACCCTTAAAACATCATTTAACGCCACGTTCGATGAAGTTTTGGCCGAGGCATCAAAAACTACACGGACTCTAGTGGTGGTGCTTGAATCCTTTAACACGCTGTGATGGGGTATATAACAAGCCGAACCGTGATCATCCTTGTCCCGAATGATCTCCGTCATATGACCCAAGTCCTGATATTCCTTCATAAAGTTAGTATAATGCTCCTTAAGAACTGGATTTTTAGCCAATCGCCTTTCCAAAGCATAGAATCGCTTCATTGCTATATTCAATGATTCCCCTAGCTTATCCGTGTTTGCTCTAAATGGTAAATGCACGGTAAATCGTCCGTTTTCATCACGCTTCGTGGTTTCAGTAAACAACGATTCACATTCCGATTCTTCCGTCGTCAACTGCGACGCCGGCGCGCATTCCTCAATTTCCCAAAAGCGCTCTAGATTATCGCGTAACTCATGAACCGCGTTGAGGTGGCACCACGATTCCGCTTTCTTATACGTTGGTGCTATAGGCCCTGACACTATCCATCCCAATTTGGTTTTCTGAAGCACCGGCTTCTCCCTTCCCAATCGGATCTGCCCAACACAGAGTAATTCCCAAAACATGTTCGCGCCTAATAGTAAGTCCACTTTCTCGGGACAATTGAATTGCGGGTCCGCTAATGCGAGACCCTCTGGTATGTTTAACGCAGCAATGTTATAGCGTCTATTGGGCAGTTCCTGAGTAATATTTCCCACTACTAAATATGATAGCTTGGCCCTATAATTATTGTACATCGACCCTACTGATGCCGTGGTTCTGTGCGATATACTTGTTACGCTTTGATTAACCCCGCGAATCGGAAGTCTAATGGATGTCAATGGCAGCTTCAATGTTTGAGCTAATTGCTTCGTCATGAAATTAGATTGGGAACCGCTGTCTAACAAAGCTCTGCATACGTGCGATCCCCCATTGCCGTCGTATATTATAACCTTCGCCGTTGCCAGTAGGACATACGTATTTTGATCGGCATGTACCGCGTGAGTAGTTACTGCTGTTTCTTGGCTGCCTCCCATCTTATCGTTATCGCTGTTATTGTTTACATTACCGCTTGACTGGACATTCGCTTCCTGCTTGGTTTTCGTCGCGCCAAAATGTAGTAACGTATTGTGTCTACCGCCACAAGTTTTACAACCGCCTGCTTGACAGTCTTTATTAAAGTGATTATTTCGAAGACAATTCGTACACAAGTTTAATTTTTTAACCTGCGCTAAACGTTTGTCAACGGATAATCCGAGCACATCCTTGCATGCGTATATACTGTGCGAGCCTTTACAGAATGCACACTTAATTGCGTTTGAAGCTAAATGAGCTAGTGAACCCTTCGCTTTATCCTTTATACCCTTAGCTACAGTCCCTTTGTCCAACTGCTTGTTGTCCTTGGACAACCGCTCGAGAATTTGGCAACGTTGATTCAAGAACGTCTTGAAATCATCTAATTTAGGCAATTCGTTGTGCCTTACTGTTGCCTTTTCCCACTCGCTACGTGATGCCGAATCTAGTTTAGATGCTAGAAGAAAAATAATTATTGAATCCCAACTTCTAACTGGTTGACCCAACGATTCTAGCGCTCTCAAATGCTGAGACATACCATCGTACAAAGCCCTTAATGACACATATGAATCCTTACTTATTTGCGGCAGTTCGAATAACGCTCGCAAGTGATTATGCACAATGATACTCTTGTTTTCGAATCTTGCTCTCAAAATGTCCCAAGCGACGCCATAATTCGCGTCCGATGCCTCTAAAGTATCTAACGCCCGAGCGGCCTCCCCGCTCAAGCATGATCTTAAATAATAAAATTTTTGAGTCGTGGTTAACGTATCATTATTGTGTATGATGGCATGAAAGGTGTCGTTAAATTGAATCCACCTTTCGTATTCCCCGCCGAACTCTGGCAGCTTCAGCGCAGGCAATTTTATGTTCTGAGTATTGCACGTATGATTTGTATCCGTCCGTGGCCGTTCGCCCGGAGCCGGTCGCATTAAGCCTCTAGCCCTACTTATTGTCGCAAAGTACGCCGTTTCGAATGTGTCGCGATGAGCTATCTGTGCGTCGCTATCATCAATTGACTCGATCTCTATTTGTATTTTAT